GAGCCTGCCGGCTCCCGCGCGCTCGGGGCCTTCCCCGGGGCGTGGGAAAGGGAAGGACCCGAGGCCTTGCCTCGGGCCCTGCGACCCCTCCGCGGCGCGGCGGCACCAGGCCCGCCGCCTCCTCCGGCCCGGGCTGCGGGGAGCGAAGGCAGGTCCCCAGCGCTGGGAGCCAGAGGGCTGCACGTCGACCTACCCAAGATAGTTTCCAGGGCTGCGGCTGTAATTCGCAGCGGGACTTCACTGACATGTCAGGCGCTGCTGATTTGTCCGTGATGTCGTTCCTTAATCTAAAGTCACCCGTCGGAGCAGCCCGTGGCTCTCGGCGACTACGAAGTGCGCTCGCTCAGCCTTACCCTTCTAGAGAATCACTGGACGGTTCCTCGTAACCGCGTGCTTTTCCTTCAGAGGAGCCACCGCTCCACAAGCCAAAATGAAGAAGGAAAAACAAAGTCGGTTCATCCGGATAAGGGGCTAACAAATAATTACGAGGAAGCCTAGGGTTTTAATAAATGAGTTACAAAGTGGTGAATTGAAGAGAGGAGGGAATTCAAGAGAGGGAGGGCAGGTATTTTCAAACGCTTCTTTTTAAACCCATGGCACTGTAAGGACAGGGGCAGAAAGCTGGACGGCAAGGGGTTCGTCTCTGAAATCGAGAAGGCAAAAAGACGTCGTAGAGATTGCATAAAGTAGAGAGAACTAGATAAAGAACGGTTGGGAGGTGTCCTTGTAAAACCACAACAGGAACCCAACGTTTAGAGCCTCTCGTCGGCAAAACGGACTTAAACTCGGAACGCAGTTTCCGCGAGTGCAGTTTTCCCGCCGGAGGCTGGGTGTGCGGCAGCCTTCCTCCTGCGCAGGCGCAGTGCCACTTAGAGCGGATGGAAGCCGTGGGTTTTCTGTGTTTGGCAGCGGCGATCCTAGCATGGGGCTTCCTGTGGGTTTGGGACTCCTGGGCAAGAATGAAGAGTCTGGAGCCGGCTGGCGTCCCGGGAGATGGAAGCAGGACCCTCCTGGTGATCGCGCACCCCGACGATGAAGCCATGTTCTTTGCTCCCACTGTGCTAGGCTTGGCCCGCCTGAGGCACCGGCTGTCCTTGCTCTGCTTCTCTGCAGGTAGGAGGCTGGAGGCGGGGCGCTGGGAGCCGGGGCTGTGATGGGTATTCAGGTGCTAACCTGTCTCAGTCGGCTTCTTCCCGAAGGGAAGCTAAGTTTAGGGAGCTGAGTGAGTGCAACGAAGGTACCTTCTCTGGGCACTTCACGGAGGATGGTGGCCCCAGCCTGTGGGCTGTAGCGGCCAACTTCCCAGGTGGGTTGGGGACGTCCAAACAATCTAGGCTGCATCGTACCTGCTCAACCCTTAACATTTTACTACGGAAGGTCGCACAGGACGTTCCTGCTGCTTTTAAAATCCACTTTCTGCTAGAAAGTTGCATACGTCAAATTGAAGGGAGAGACTCAGGTCATTAGACGAGAAAATAATTTTATGGGTAATTCTAGAATTCAGTTCCACCAACCTTCCGTGAAGAGGCCTTTCAAAGAGTAAATCCTCCTTTACCATACAGAAAAGATGGGCTGAGAAAACAAAAATTGACCATGATACTGGATTATGGTGATATTTGCTCAACTGTATAAATGTCATTGAACTGTACATAGACAGTGGGTATGTAAAATTATACCTCAATAAAGCTATTTTTAACAAATGCCCATGACCTCTTTTCCCACTTGGTTGTGTGTCATTACAGTTTTTTTTCTACACTGATTTTCTACAGAAATCCCGTTTTATATAATTTTACATTTTTCACTGAACATTAGTTTTCAGTCATTTTCCAAATATTTATTTGTTTTTTATTTTTTAAAAAGATTTCATTTGAGAGAGAGAACGAGCGGTGGGGAGGGGCAGAGGGAGAGGGAGAAGCAGACTCCCCTCTGAGCAGAGAGCCCTACAAGGGACTCTATCCCAGGACCCCAAGATCATGACCGCGCGGAAGGCAGACTTACCGATTGAACCACCCAGGCGCCCCTACCAAATATTTATTAAAAATTTATGTACATATGTTAATTAGTTGAATTTAAATAAATAAATAAAAGAAATTATAGGTTAAAAATTAATAAAAAGCCACTTTTTTTTTAAAGATTTTATTTATTTATTTGAGACAGAGAGAATGAGAGACAGAGAGCATGAGAAGGAGGAAGGTCAGAGGGAGAAGTAGACTCCCTGCTGAGCAGGGAGCCCGATGCGGGACTCGATTCCGGGACTCCAGGATCATGACCTGAGCCGAAGGCAGTCGCTTTACCAACTGAGCCACCCAGGCGCCCCATAAAAAGCCACTTTTTAAAGAAAAAAAAATTATGTGCACTGCACATTACTGGAATGACCAAAATCCACAGCATTGACAACACCAAATGCTGGTGAGGATGTGAAGGAACAAGAACTCTTCCTCACTGATGGTGGGAATGCAAAATGCCTCAGCCACTTTGGGAGACTGTTAGTTTGGCAGTTTCTTATAAAAACAAAACATGGGGCGCCTGGGTGGCTCAGTTGGTTAAGCGACTGCCTTCGGCTCAGGTCATGATCCTGGAGTCACAGGATCGAGTCCCGCGTCAGGCTCCCTGCTCGGCAGGGAGTCTGCTTCTCCCTCTGACCCTCCCCCCTCTCATGTACTCGCTCTCATTCTCTCTCTCTCAAATAAATAAATAAAATTAAAAAAAAAAAACATGCTCTTACCAAACCATCCAGCAATCACCCTCCCTGGTATTTACCCAAATGAGTTGAAAACATGTCCATGCAAAAACCTGTCCCCAGATGTTTATAGCAGCCTTACTCATAATTGCCAAAACTTGAGAGCAACCAAAACACCCTTTAGTTGGTAAATAGATAAATAAGTTGGTACATCCAGATGATAGAATATTATTCAACGCTAAAAAGAGATGAACTATCAAGCCATGAAAAAACATGGAGGAACCTTAAATGCACATCACTAAGTGAAAGAAGCCAGTCTGAAAAGGCTGCATACTGTATGATTCCAACCATATGACATCCTAGAAAAGGCAAAACTATAAAGACAGTAAAAAGATCAGTGGTTGCCAGGGGTTGGGGGGAAAGAAGGATGAATTGAAGGAGCACAGAGGATTCTTCAGCAGTGAAAATGCTCTATGATATTATAATAAGGGATACATGTCTTTGTACATTTGTCCAAACCCTCAAACTGTACACCACCAAGAGTGAACCCTAATGTAAACTATGGACTTTGGGTGGTTATAATGTGTCAGTGTAGGTTCATCCATTATAACATGTACCACTCTCATGGGGGATGTTGATAATGAGAAAGGCTATGCATGTGTAGGGACAAGGGGTATAAGTGAAATCTCCATACCTTCCACTCAATTTTGCTGTGAACCTAAAACTGCTCTAAAAAGCATAATTTTAATTAAAAAAAAAACACTTTGTAATTTAAAAAATTATATGCTAGTCCTTATACTATACCCTAGGAATAAAACAGTGAAAACAAGCTAGATTAGGATCACGTCCTTGTGAAACATAAGGTAAGCATTTACTCATGTTAATAAGAACTAGATAATAATAGCCTTTGTTTGTTTCAAGTTTTTATTTAAATTCTGGTTAATTAACATATAGTGTAACATTGGTTTCAGGATAATAGCCTTTTAAATGGTTTCGTAGAGATAAACCTTAATTTAGTCATCCCTTTATTGTATGTATATTTAGAGGGTTTTTTTTTTTCCAGTTTATCACTATTACAGGTAACAGTGAACATCTTTATGTATTTCATATTATTTCATTAGGACTGATTTCTAAATCTGGCTGTTTTTAAGGCTTTGCATGCAAATCAAATTCCCCAAAACCTACCAATTTATATTCTCACTGACAGGTAGTGAGAGTATCTCCCTCAATATAGCACCCTCTCTAGCACTGACTAGTATTTTTTTTTTTATATTACTTCTTGGTATAACACTTTTTCCCCTCAAAATCTTTTGTTGCCAGTGAGGTTAACCCATTTTTCATTTATTGAGAATATGGGTCTAAGCACTATTCTTCTCAGTTTGTGCTATTAAGGATTTTAACTGTAAATAGATACAGATAATGGCCTCACTGTTTCCTTTTAATGGTATTTGTGTTTTATATTACAACTGCGGGAGACAAATTTTAACAAATTTGTTTCAAGATCTAGGAGAGAAACCTGGATATTATTCACCAAGTATTATAGGTGCAGTGACTTCAGTAAATTTCTCCTTGTTTTTCAGCAGGTTCAAACCAGAAATTAAGATATTTTCAAATGAAAAAATATAAAGCATGCCCCTGGTATATATTAAACACACAGTATCTTTGTCCTGCAAGTGTTTCCTCTGAATTGAACTTGCCATTTAAATTGTTCTCTCTTGTAACTTTTTTAGATATTGATTTATAAGAGAGAGCGTGGGGTGGGGGGTGCAGTGAGAGGGAGAGAGAGAATCTTAAGCAGGCACCAAGCCCAGCACGGAGCCCATGGCGGGGCTCCACCTCAAGACCCTGAGATCATGACCTGAGCCGAAATCAAGAGTTGGATGCTTAACCGACCAAGCCACCCAGGCCCCGTCTTGTAATTTTTAAATTCCTTTTATTTTTTAAATTATTTTTCAAATCCCCAACTCATTCAAAAAGTACAGATTAAACATTACCTACACTCCTAATTTATTTTAACATGAAAAACAGGAAGCTAATAGCTTGTGATACAATGAGGGCGGGGTGCCTGGGTGGCTCAGTCATTAAGCGTCTGCCTTCGGCTCAGGTCATGATCCCAGGGTCCCGGGATCGAGCCCCGCATCGGGCTCCCTGCTCCGCGGGAACCCTGCTTCTCCCTCTCCCACTCACCCAGCTTGTGTACCCTCTCTCACTGTGTCTCTCTCTGTCAAATAAATACATAAAATCTTTAAAAAAAGAAACTGTAGGGGCG